CCATCCAATCTGAAAGGTGTCTAAGGCTTCAAAGAAGGGCTAAGAAGCACTGACTCAGCAGTTTCAAGGCTAGATGACCAGCAGGCCTAGACGTGGCATTCAAGAAAAAAGGGGCCCCAGGGCAAGAAGTGAGGAGGTAGGGTTGGCTGGAAGACAGTAGAGACGATCACTTCCCTCTGAGATCTACTGCTTTTATGATGCTGTAGGTGGATCTTCCAGTGGGCACGAAAGAAGGAGAACCCAGCCCTTCAGAGACTGTGCAAGGCCACAGACACAGGCAGGGGAGCGACCTCCATCACACACTGCTGTTTGAATGACAGTGTCAAGGAAAGCAGAAGAGGGGGCCAAGGACAGATCTTTGAGCATATTTCATCTGTCTGCTGTGCCTTTTCCTAAGTGCCTTCTGACAGATTATTTTTCTCCACACAGGAAATTCACATTTTGAACTTTAGTTCCTAAAATACATTAAATCACACTTTGGCTTCTGAGGAGGGCAGGAGAGGATGCGCATAATGACTACTTCTGTGGTTCACTTCTCATCTGAGGAAATTATCTTTTCAAAATGATCAGGTGCTCCTGACCCTGTTGAAAAGAATGTGGGTCTTTTTGAGCTAAGTTAGGAAGTGTGTAGGATAATTGTTAGGGCTGAGAGGACCTAGTCCTAGCCCAGTGCGGAAATCTCAGGAACCCACAGAATTCCTCCTCTCTCTGGATAAGACGGAAAATACACCTGTACCCTTTTCCTGCTCATGCCAGAAAAGCTACTTAAAATATTCAGGTAGATTGCAAATTGATAGTGCCCATCCTGGATCACTGGTCATAACCCAGCTATACTGTTGTGTAGAAATATCCCAAAGAATAGCCGGCATTTTCCCAAGAGCTTGTGTAATTTTGTGTGGGTGCATAATTTCAAGAAGAAAGGAGCAGCAGTTCTAATCTGTCATACCCAGAAACAACTTAGTCATCACCATCATGGAACTTTGTGGAAGCAGTCAAATATTGTCTATAAGTGGCCATGATGGTCACCATAGCTAACATGTATTGAATGTTTACGTATATGTTTTGAACTAGGCACTGGTTTAAGGACATATATTCATTATCCATTTACTACCCACAAAATCCCATAAGATGAATTTGGTTTATGGGTCTCATTTTATGGACACATAAATTGAGGTTTAATGAGCAAAGTTCATGCCCCTATCCACTGCCAGACTGTTCCTGCTTTACTCTGGGGCAGGGCTCATCTTCAGACCTTCATATGGCCGTAATCCACGCTTGTGGGCCTGGGCAATCCACACAAGGAGCAGTAGTAAACACCCTTTGATCTACCAAGCTGCACCGTGACTCTGCTTACCTGTGCATTCTTTCACCCGGTTCTAAATTGCCTGTCTGGATCTAAACGTCCTCACTTCCATGAACTTCAAACATTGCTGGCTTCCCTTAGGATGCAGCTGGGTTTGGCTGCACTACCTGCAGAGGTTCCAGCACAGCTAAAGAAGCGGGACCTGGACAAGCTGCACCCCCTGAGGTGAGGCCAGTTCTGAGAGAAGTGCACTCGACTTTGAGGAAGGCTGCTCGGGCAGACAGAACAGATACTGGCAGGTTAGGGATACAGAGATGGGCACCCAGCAGCGAGAGCCGGAGATGGAACTAGATTGCTGAAGGGAACATGTAGACAGACAAGCCTAGGTGTTGTAGGGCAAAAGGTACAACCCAGAATACCAGAGCCTTTTTAATAGGAAGGTAGCCCAGTGGTAAGAAATTTAAGAAAGGTCAATATTAAAAAACCAGGACAGGTTTTATGGGGTGGCCTTTCCTCACCCATTCTCTCTGTTATGCATTGAATTGTGTCTCCTCAGTATTATATCTTGAAATCCTAAGCCCCAGTACCACCGAATGTGATATTATTTGGAGATGGGTCCTTGCAGATGTAATGAGTTAAGATGAGATTATTAAGGTGGGCCTGAATCCAGCAGGACTGGTGTCCTCATAAAATGGGTAATTTGACACAGATACACACACAGGGAGAATGTCACGCGCAGATGAAGGCAGAGATCAGGGTGATGCTTCTACAAGCCAAGGAATGCCAAAGATAGCCGGCAAACCACCAGAAGCTAGGGGAAAGGCATGGAACAGAATCGTCCTCACAGCTCTCAGAAAGAACCGATGCCGCCAACACCTTGGTCTCAGACTTCCAGCTTCCAGAACTGCGAGACAATACGTTTCTGTTATTGGAGCCACTCATTGTGCGGTACTTTGTTACAGCAACCCTAGAAAACTGTTAGACTCCCTTTCTCTAAAGCTGTAGACCCGCTCCACTCTGTTTCTTGCTTCTGGTTTCCTGAACAAAGGCCTCAGAGGAGGTGGAGCTGTGGCGAGCTTTTCAATCAGAATGGCTCCTGCAGAGCTTGCAGGGTATGCAGAGCTCACTGGAAGTCAGTAGGCAGAGTGGTGTGGGGACCTCCTACCCTGCTGGCACTGTGAAGACACTCTGTCTCACTGTGTACTGTGTAATGTGCAATGTGCACTGTGGCTTAAGGAAGGGGGTCCCCAACATAATACTGGGTGCTAACTCTCTTGAGGGATCAAAATATTCAACCCCAAGTCTGGAGCATGGATTTTGTTTAAGCTGGCTCCTAAAAGTCTTTGTTCTCAGCCTCTCTCTCCATCATCATCATCAGGCTGTTACCAACTTGCCTTTAGTCATCTGATAAAGGCAGCAGGTTTCCATGGTTACCTACAAGCATGCAGTAAGGTGTCATTCCATGGAGGCCTCAGGATTAGGCAAATTGGACAAAGCCTCTGGCACGATGAAAATAACCTGGATTCAATGATCAGAATGGGGTACTGGAGGCAACTGGTGCTCAGAAGCAAGTCCAAAGCCTAGTTATTAGAGCTGGGCATAAAGGCAGAGGCAGAGCAGCAATCCTACTTAGTACTATTATCTGCCGGATACTGAGCCCTTACTGTGAACCAGGTGCTACACCAAGTACTTCATGTGCATTACCTCCTTTGGTCCTTACTCACTAAAGCCTTCTGTTTTATCAAAGAAGGGACAAGGGCTGGCCCCATGGCCAACTGGTTAAATTCATGCACTCTGCTTTGGCGGCCCAGGGTTTCACCGGTTCAGATTCTGGGCGTGGACCTAGCACAGCTCATCAGGCCATGCTGACGTGGTGTCCCACATACCACAACTAGAAGGACCCACAACTAAAATATATACAACTATGTACTGGGGGGCTTTAGGGAGAAGAAGGAAAAATAAAATCTTTAAAAAAATTTAAAAAAATAAAAAGAAGGAACAGAGTTTATGTGACTTGTTGAAGATCACTCAGCAGGTAGGTACAGAGCAAGGATTTGAACCCATGTGCTGAATATTTTCCATCTATCCCCCCAGATCTGCTTTCTGCTCTTCTCTACCCCAGATACTGACCTGCATGGGCTGCATCGACAGTCTCCCTTGCTCTCTAGCTCCAGCTGGGTCTGTTACTGGACAGCCCCACAAATAAGGGAGAAGAAAGGAGAGGTCGCTTTCATCTGGCTGTGCCACAGAGTGGCTGCCTCTACAGAATCCTCTCCTTCCATTTCCTCCCCTTGTGTCTTTGAGATTAAGGCTGCTGTTCCAGGATACTACCCAATCCCTTGTGGTTGCCTGGCACCCACTCTTTTGTAGGAAACCCCTTTATAATGAGTCCTTCTTTATCTTCTTTCTGGTGAGACCTTGACTGCTCCACCAGGTCTGTCTGTTGCTGAAGGCTTTACCTTTAACTCCTATGCCATGCTTCTCCCATTCCCAGCCAGTGTGACGGTGTTGAGTCCCAGAGTGTTGGGTCAGTGCCCCTTAAACCTCTGCAATCGAAGGGCAAGAGTGGTCTCTGAGACTTGGTGCTGAGGGAAAGAGGTGCTGAACCTCAAGTGGGTGCCCAGTGGTTAGATGTGCCCGGAGAGGACCACAGCACAGCCTTGAGGGCAGGGTCTGATACTCACCTATAAGGACTTTCAGTTTCCATGTGGTCCTTCCTGTCCTGGCAACTTCTCAGCATTTAGCTACTGCAGTGAGTTTAGCTAACTACAGTTTGAGTGAACAGTCCTCACAAGACAGCCCTCACTTCAGACACCAGACGCAAGTTTGTGGGTTCCCAGGACCACCCTCCCTTCAGACTAGCTGGCTACAAATTCAGAGGCTACTATGACTTCCCTCAACTTCTGTAATTTGCTAAAGCAGCTCACAGAACTCAAGAATTGCTATACTTATGATTACAGTTTTGTTATAGCAAAATAATACAAATTAAGTTGGATAAAGAAGATTGTGGTATATATACACAATGGAATATTACTCAGCCATAAAAAAAATGAAATCTTGCCATTGTGACAACATGGATGGACCTTAAGGGTCTTATGTCAAGGGGAATATGTCAGAGAAAGGCAAATATATGATTTCACTTATATATGGAATCTAAAAAACAAAACAAATGAACAAACAAAACTCATAGATATAGATAATACAGTGGTAGTTGCCAGAGAGGAGAAGGGTGGGTGAAATGGGTGAAGGGGGCAAGAGGTACAAACTTCCAGATATAAAATAAATAAGTCGCGGAGATTTAATCTACAGCATGGTGACCATGGCCAATAATATTGTAGTGCATATTTGAAAGTTGCCAAAAGAGTAAATCTAAAAGTTCTCATCATAAGAAAAAAAATTTGTGTGTGTGTGGTGATGAATGGTAACTAGACTTATTGTGGTTATCATTTTGCAATGTATACTAATATTGAATCATTATGTTGCACACCTGAAACTAATATAATGTTATATGTCAATTTCATACCTCAATAAAACTTTAAAAACAAATTAAAATCAGTCAAGGGAAGAGATGCAAGGGCAGAGTCCAGGAGGGGTCCAAGCACGGAGCTTCTGGTTGTCCTTTCTGCATGGAGTCATGGAGTCCTCATCATGATATGTTCATGATATGCTCATAGTATTGCCAAGAAGGGAAGCTTACCCAAGCCTTTGGTGTCCAGAGTTTTTACTGGAGCTTGATCACATATGGCCCACATGGCTGACCTTTGGTCTCCGGCCCCTTCTGGAGGTTGGAACTCACATGGTGTGTCCCAAAGCCTCTGTCATAAATCACATTATTAGACTGTCCAATGACCTAAGCCCCAAGCTCACAAAAACACTCTTGTTGGGCAGGACATTCCAGGGACCTAGAGATCACCTCTCCACAGTTGAGGACAAAGGCCAGACCTCTGTTGGGTAAGGTTGGTTCTTCATTACACAGCTACTTTGTTTCTTTAGAATCCATCAGACCCTCCTGCTTGGCTGTTTTCCTGGTCTTGTCTCTCCTAGCCAGCCCAGGGCTGTCACCATCCGTGTGTCCACCGTAGTTTGGAAGGAGGCTAAGGCGATACTTGATACAATCTATAGTGAGCTTAGCAGACTTCACCCATTGCAAGAGTCACCACTGAGACCACCATCCCTGCCACTGGGCTAGCAGATGCCACGTCTGTATCCCATTGTTGGGAAGGGAATCTACTTTTCAAAAAAGTTCCTCTTTGTGGCACTGGGGCAAGAATCCACAACCTCCTTCTAAATGCCCTTGCACAAAACAACTGTTCCCACACGGCAAATTGTGGTGGCCCCACTGATTCTGTCATGGTGGACAGGTCCCCTGTTCTACCTTTATTCTATCACCTACATATGTCTGCTTCCTCCTCTACTCTTAGGCCTCTTGAAGGTAGTGGACTTGTCTCATTTAAACCTCTAGCGTCTACCATGTGCTGGTCTCTCACACGCATTCTGTAAATGAACTTCTCCAGTTCACCTGCTCAGGAAGACCACTGCATTTAGTCTCCTTACATAAGAGTTAGCAGAGATGCCTCTGACGTGCCTGCCTAATCTTTAACAATAATAACTCCTCCTTATTTGGAAGACCTATCCTGTTTACAAATATTCTCTCTTTTAACCTTTGCACCTGTGAGATAGGTATTGTTACCATCCTCATGAACAGATGAAGAAATTGAGGCAAAGAGAGCAACTTCCCCAAGGTCATCTAACCCCCAGGTGGCCCCAGAGATGGAACTGGTTCTGTTGGATTCCAGAGCATCAAGCCCTTAACCACTGTTCCGCAATGGATTGGGGCAGTCCAGTGAGATCATGGCAACGGACAGGCCATTTCCAGAAGAGGATTTAGCTTGAAATCAGGCTTAGAGTGAGGCATGAGATGATAAGATAAAATGACACTGAATAATCTGTGAAAAACGTAAGTGGAAACTAGTGATTATGATTAGAATGTAGTGGAAGTAGAAATAATATATTGATCTTGTTTTTTTTTGTTTTTTGGGGTTTTTTTAGGCAGTAGAAAGCCACTGCAAGTTCAAATGGTGAAAGAGATCATTGTTAAAGATACAGGTAAAATGTAAGGGGAAACATTTCTGTGCACTATTTTTTTCTGACTTTAATCTTTACTTTGCAGTTCTCTTTTTTCTGTATTTTTCATGTTGCGTGGACAATCTATCTCTTTATTTTTAGGTTAATTTCTATTTTTATACATGTAATACATGCATATAACAGTATGAAAAGTAACATTGTCTAAAGATTTCTAATAAAAAAATCTCTGCCTGATCCCTATGTATCTCCTAGTCCTACTCCCCAGAGGCAATCACTTCAACTCTCTCTCTCTCTTTTTTTTTTTGTGAGGAAGATTGGCCCTGAGCTAACATTTGTTGCCAATTCTCCTCTTGTTGCTTGAGGAAGATTGTTGCTGAGCTAACATCTGTGCCAATCTTCCTCTACTTTATGTGGGACACCACCAGCGTGGCTTGATGAGTGGTGCTAGGTCCATGCCGAGCATCCGAACCTGCGTACCCCGGGCTGCCAAAGTGGAGCAAGTGAACTTAACCACCACTCCACCAGGCTGATCCCAGCACTTGAACTCTTTTAGCTGTTTCTTCTAACATGTATGACCATTTTCTAAATAATATGCTTTTATTCAACTTCTTGACTGATTTTAGATTTAATCTACTGACTTCCCACCATGGTAGATGAGGGTTTCGTGCTTCCATACCACCTTTCCCATTTCCCTTTCTCCCATGCTCCCTGCAAAAGCGTATCAACACTTTTTGTTATATCAAAAGTCAGTGTTTACATTATTATGGCCAAGCAACTATGGTTGACAGACAAGCCAAGTAGTGTTCTCAACCACACTTCCTCTCTTGTTCAATCTTCATTTTTCTATGTTTAAAATTGCCATGTTTTTTCATTTGCCTATTTGTCCATGAACTCATCCAATTTTTCCCCTAAACATTTCAATACCACTGTCATCGACATAGCAACGATGTCTAACAAATATGTGTAAATGCCACTTCTGTAGTTTTCCCGGAACTCTCCCAGAATTTTCCTTTGTGCTCCTGTCTGGGCAGAATGTTCTCTGGGGCTGTATACAGCTGCCAATCTGGGAATTCCTAGTCTTTTTTGTGTGCGTATCATTAAAATATTTTTAAAAACCCAGAAACCCACTGATGCTTCTACACTATATCTTCTGAAGGTTTTTTTCTTTTTGCATAATAAATCCCTATTTGAATATTAAAAAGTAATTTACTCACTATTTTGAAAAGTGGAAAATAAAGGGAATGAACCAAGCATTTATTCTGCCATTCTGCTTTTCCTATTCCAACTGTATCTTTGGGTAATCAAATGGTGGATAAGGAACAATTCCTCTTTATAGAACTCTTTCAGAAAAGAATTGAAAAAAGAATCTTTGAAATAAAATATCACCATTTTGCAATTCTTCTTTTTGAGGAAGATTTGCCTGGAGCTAACATCTGTGCCAATCTTCCCCTTTTTGTATGTAAGACACCACTACAACATGGCCATTAACAGACGAGTGGTTTAGGTCCGTGCCGAGGAACCAAACTTGGGTCGCTGAAGTGGAGCACACTAAACTTAACCACTAGGCCACCAGGGCTGGCCCAACCATTTTGTAGTTCTTAATGAATTAATGAATCTCAGCATTGAGCATCAATGACAGCTAATGTCACAAAAAGAGAGACAACCACATATTATGTGCCTCCTGATGAAAGAACTCAATACCACCTATGAAGTAGTGTGGCCAAAAAAATCAAACTTGAATCTGATTAAGCATCAATATTCAACTACCAATATATAGGAAATACAGACTTTTTTTTTCTATTAAGGTTATGACATTTAACATCCTTGTGAAATTACAGTTGTACATCATTATTAGTCTCGTTGTAGGTACACCACTTCACCCCCAGTGCCCTCCCCCCACCCCCCTTTCCCCTGGCAACCACTGATCAGTTCTCTTTGTCCGTATGTTAACTACCACCTATGAGTGGAGTCATACAGAGTTCGTCTTTCTCTGTCTGGCTTATTTCACTCAACATAATACCCTCAAGGTCTATCCATGTTGTTGTGAATGGGACAACTTTGTCCTTTTTTTATGGCTGAGTAGTATTCCATTGTATATATATACCACATCTTCTTTATCCAATCATCAGTTGCTGGGCACTTAGGTTGGTTCCATGACTTGGCTATTGTGAATAATGCTGCGATGAACATAGGGGTGCATGGAACTTTTGGAATTGCTGATTTCAGGTTCTTAGGATAGATACCCAGTAGTGGGATGGCTGGGTCATAAGGTATTTCTATTCTTAACTTTTTGAGGAATCTCCATACTGTTTTCCATAGTGGCTGCACTATTTTGCATTCCCACCAACAGTGTATGAGAGTTCCCTTTTCACCACAGCCTCTCCGACATTTGTCACTCTTGGTTTTGGATATTTTTGCCATTCTAACAGGTGTAAGGTGATATCTTAGTGTAGTTTTCATTTGCATTTCCCTAATGATTAGTGATGATGAGCATCTTTTTATGTGTCTATTTGCCATCCGTATATCTTCTTTGGAGAAGTGTCTGTTCATGTCCCCTGCCCATTTTGTAATTGGGTTGTTTGATTTTTTATTGTTGAGTTGTGTGAGTTCTTTGTATACTATGGAGATTAACCCTTTGTCGGATAAATAACTTGTGAATATTTTTTCCCAATTAGTGGGCTGTTTTTTTGTTTCAATCCTATTTTCCCTTGCCTTGAAGAAGCTCTTTAGTCTGATGAAGTCCCATTTGTTTATTCTTTCTATTGTTTCACTCATGTGAGGGGTTATGGTGTCCGAAAAGATTCTTTTGAAGCTGATGTCAAAGAGTGTACTGCCGATATTCTCTTCTAGAAGACTAATTGTTTCAGGCCTAATCTTTATGTCTTTGATCCATTTTGAGTTTATTTTAGTGGATGGTGAAAAAGAATGGTCAATTTTCATTCTTTTACATGTGGCTGTCCAGTTTTCCCAGCACCATTTGTTGAAGAGACTTTCTTTCCTCCATTGTAGGCCCTCAGCTCCTTTGTCAAAGATTAGCTGTCCATAGATGTGTGGTTTTATTTCTGGGCTTTCAATTCTGTTCCATTGATCTGTGGACCTGTTTTTGTACCAGTACCATGCTGTTTTGATTACTGTGGCTTTGTAATATGTTTTGAAGTCAGAGATTGTGATGCCTCCAGCTTTGTTCTTCTTTCTCAGGATTGCTTTAGCAATTTGTGGTCTTTTGTTGCCCCATATGAATTTTAGGATTCTTTGTTCAATTTCTGTAAAGAATGACATTGGAATTCTGATTGGGATAGCGTTGAATCTGTAGATTGCTTTAGGTAGTAGGGACATTTTAACTATGTTTACTCTTCCAATTCATGTGCATGGAATGTCTTTCCATCTCTTTATGTTGTTGTTGATTTCTTTCAAGAAGGTCTGGTAGTTTTTGTTGTATAGATCTTTCACTTCCTTCGTTAAATTTATCCCAAGGTATTTTATTCTTTTTGTTGCGATCGTGAATGGGATTGAGTTCTTGAGATCTTTTTCTGTTAGTTCATTGTTAGCATATAGAAATGCTGCTGATTTATGTATGTTGATTTTATACCCTGCAACTTTGCTGTAACTGTTGATTGTTTCTAATAGTTTTTCTATAGATTCTTTGGGGTTTTCTATATATAAGATCATGTCGTCTGCAAACAGCGAGAGTTTTACTTCTTCGTTGCCTATTTGGATTCCTTTTATTTCTTTTTCCTGCCAAATTGCTCTGCCAAAACCTCTAGTACTATGTTGAATAAGAGTGATGAAAGTGGGCACCCTTGTCTTGTTCCTGTTCTGAGAGGGATGGGTTTCAGTTTTTGTCCGTTGAATATGATGTTGGCTGTGGGTTTGTCATATATGGCCTTTATTATGTTGAGGTACTTTCCTTCTATATCTATTTTATTGAGGGTTTTTTATCATAAATGGATGTTGGATCTTGTCGAATGCTTCCTCTGCATCTATTAAGATGATCATGTGGTTTTTGTTTCTCATTTTGTTAATGTAGTGAATCACGTTGATTGACTTGCAGATGTTGAACCATCCCTGTGTCCCTGGTATAAATCCCACTTGATCATGGTGTATAATCTTTTTGATGTATTGCTGTATTCGGTTTGCCAAAATTTTGTTGAGGATTTTTGCATCTATGTTCATCAGTGATATTGGCCTGTAGTTTTCCTTCTTTGTGTTGTCCTTGTCAGGTTTGGGGATCAGGGTGATGTTGGCTTCATAGAATGTATTAGGGAGTGCTCCATCTTCCTCTATTTTCTGGAATAGTTTGAGAAGGATAGGTATTAAATCTTCTTTGAATGTTTGGTAGAATTCTCCAGAGAAGCTGTCTGGTCCTGGACTCTTATTTTTTGGGAGGTTTTTGGTTACTGTTTCTATTTCTTTACTTGTGATTGGCCTATTCAGATTCTCTAATTCTTCCTGATTCAGTTTGGGTAGGTTGTATGAGTCTAGGAATTTATCCATTTCTTCTAGGTTGTTCAATTTGTTGGCATATAGTTTTTCATAGTATTCTCTTATGATCCTTTGTATTTCTTCGGTATCTGGTGTGATTTCTCCTCTCTCGTTTCTAATTTTATTTATTTGAGACTTCACTCTTTTTTTTTTAATGAGTCTGGCTAAGGGTTTGTCGATTTTGTTAATTTTTGAAGAACCAACTCTTTGTTTCATTGATCCTTTCTACTGTCTTTTTTGTTTCAGTATCATTTATTTCTGCTCTAATTTTTATTATTTCCCTCCTTCTACTGACTTTTGGCTTTTTAAAAAAAAGTAACATTGCACTACAAGGCTGCAGTCAGCAAAATCCAGATTATGGGAAATTTTATAGGACAAATACCCCAGTTTATTCAACTAATAAATTGCAAGGAATGGAAAAATGAGATGGTGGGGGAATTTAAAGAGATTTAAAAGACATGTTGACAAACTGCAAAATGTGGTCCTTATTTTGATCCTGATTCAAACATATTAAAGAAAATTATGACATTGATGAGACATTGGAAATTTAAATGCCAACTAAATATTTGATGATATTAAGCAATTATTGTTAATCATTTGGGTTGCTCAGATTGTTTTAAAAAATTCTTATCTTTTTGAGAGACATACAAAAATAATTACAGATAAATCAATATGATGTCTTAGATTTACTTTGGAATAATATGGGAGCTGGAGATGGGGGCAGGCAGGTGGAGGTATAGATGAAACAAGGTTGGCCAAGAGGTGATAATTTTTGAAGCTGGGTAATGGACATACAGGAGTTAACTATATTATTCTGTTTGCTTTTATATACGTTTGAAATTCTATATAATAAAAAGTTTAAAAATGTAACCTAGAGATAGTTACACCCAAAACCAAATTAAAAGTCTCATAAAGAGTACGCTGACTATGCCAAAAATATCAACCTGGCTGTGGTGATTTTAAAGACACAGCCCCCAAATTCTTTGACCTTTTTTCCATTAAGCAGTGGGCTCTATGTCCCTGCCTTTTGAACCTGGATGAACTTTTGATTGTTCTGCCCCACAGAGTTCAGAGGAAGTAATGGTATGTGACTTCTGAGGCTGGCTCATAAAAGGTGCTGCAGCTCCCTCCTGGTTCTCCTGGGACACTGGCTCTGTGGGAAGTCAGCCACCATGTAAGAAGTCTGACAATCCTGAGACCACCTGCTGGAGAGAACACGTGTAAACAATTCAGGAGACAGCCCAAGCTGAGCTCCCAGCCAAGTGCCCAGCATCGACTGCCAGCCATGCGAGTGAGCCAACTTGGGCGTCTGGCCCAATCGTGCCTTCAGACGACTGCAGTCCCAGCCAGCATCTAATTGCGTCCGCGTGAGAGATTCCAAGATAAAACTGCCCACCAGAGCTCTCCCAGTTTCCTGACTCATAAAATCAACAAGCAAAATAAAATGGTTGTTGTTTTATACCACTAAGTTTTGGGGGTAATTTCTTATGCAGCAGTAGTAACTGAAACACTGATGAAGTAGTAAACCAAAACTAAACATACACAGAACAATAAAATTGCTTTCATTTTTTGAGAATATAAGTATTGTGCCTGAAGAAGTCATTAATCTCTTTGGACATCCGTATTTTCATTTATGAATTTAGGTGTAGAAAGGGACTTAGGTCATCTCTAAGAATCCTTCTAGTTCTAGCATTTTCTAATAATTAACAACAAATAGGCAAATATTTACATTCTTCATCCAGTTTTTCACTTATGTGCAAACTATCTTTTGTGTAAACAGCATCACTTATTAATTCTTCAACAAACGTTTGACTCAGGCACTGTTGCTAGGTGCTGGGTACTGTTCTTATATCGTCTGGGAGAACTTGCTGATCCAAATTTAGGCTTGGCCCTAGCAGAGCAGTCTGTCCTGCATCCCCGCTGCCCCTTCCCTCCACCTGCTTCGTGCTTTTGCAGGTTTGCTAGAGTCAGCACTAGAACACTCTTCTCACAGTGTTTCATCTTTTCTGAAGAAAAGGCCTTTTTATTCAGTAAATACCATACACAATACTGACCTCTGTTCATTTGGGTACATAAATATCGAGGAAACTGGCCTTACATTCCAAGTAGTTCCAAGGCAAACCTGCTACAAAAATAAATAAAATTATTTTATGCAACACTGTTTGGTACTCTTAGGGTACATTTCCTGGACTGACATTTGGAGTTTGGACTTTGTTCTCAGTCTGGAAATGAGAACTAAATGAAATGAAAAGTTAATATCTTCTTTGCTTAGGCAAAATGATGAGAATATGGGCCTAAGGGAAAAAAGTTTGAATCTTCAAGAAATGCCCCAGGTAAATCTGGGCTCCAGTTCAAAAATTTTGTTTGCTTATTGTGGTTTCACTAAAAAAAAAAATAAACACACATGTTATAATGTTTATCCTGTGTGTGTGTATACATGTAAATATATATATATATATATTTTTCAGTACAAAATGTATCTACAATACTTAGGCCCATCAACACGGTTAATCTGCTGTCTGTTTTCGGCCTAATGTAGCAAGTTAAATTAAAAATCAAACTCATTCTAAAGAAATTAGTGCTGCACTTAAAAGTAGGTTATGGGTTACATGTTTAACTTCATCTCCTTTTGGAGTTCACTGAATTGTTGATGTCTCCCAAATTTAATCTCCTATCCAGACTCCCCCTTGACTGAGCCCCAGACTTGTACATTCAACAATCTACTTGATAATTCAGTTTGGTTACAAGCTACGAAATCTAATTCTAGCTACCTAACAAAATGGAAATTTTATTGGAAAATTGCAAGGAGACTAGGAGAGGCCAAGAAAGCTGAAGAAGACAGAAAGGAACCTGGCACTTCCAGAATGTCTTGAGAGCAGGAACTGCTCAACTATCTTACCCTATGGTTTCTTCCATCTCTGTGTCACTCCAGACAAGATTCAAAGTCCTGGAGAGAGTTTGCTTGGCCAAGCTTGGGTCATGTGCCAAGGCCTTGGTTGATCCAGTGTGGTCAGACTTGCAAAGATGTAAACTTTACCAAGAGCCATTGTTGGTGTAGATGTGCGGAGACAGGCATTCTCATGCACTACTGTTGCAAGTAAATTGCCCTTCAGCTTTTTCTGGGAGTCAATTTGATATTTATACTAAAACATACATATTTTTAAGTCCACACTCTTTAATCAAGAAATTTCAAATTTAAAAATTTTTCTAAGAGAAAAAATTGGTTAATTGAGCAAAGATATAAATAGATGGTTATTTTATTATTGCTTAGAATAGTAAAATTGGAGATGTCCTAATCGTCCAACAATAAGAAATTTGTTAAATAAATTATGGAATAGCCACGTGCTAGAGCGCTTTACAGCCACTGGAAATTACGATGTAGTCTCATATTTGTTTACATGGATACATGTCCATTATGTCTTGTTAAATGAAAAAAGCAGGTTATAAATAATATGTATGGTATGACCCTAGTTTTGTAAAAATAAATACATATATGTATTTTAAAAGTCTAAAAGAACATAGAACATTTGCAAGTGTGTTTTTACTTCTATAATCAGAAAAGACAGTAAATCTATTTTAAAAGAGAGTGTTAATAAGTAAAAGTAGACACAATATTACTTAAATGTGGTTGGAATTCTTTTAACACATGTAGTTGGAAAAACACTCATGTGTTTTTCCTTTGTTCTCACACTGTTACCACACAAGGCTTCTGACACCAAATGCGTGGGTTTTCTACACAAAAGCTATTTCCGGCACCAGCTGGGTCTCCTACAAGTCAATTCAGTTCTAATACTATCTACATGGAGTTACCTTTGGATCCCACAGGTTAAGGGCTCAATCCCACAAGACTGTTCCCACTTCAGAAGCCCAGATTGTCGCCTGTACTTCTGACCTACTGGCTATAAATCAGGGTTCCCATGCCCCCCTCCTTGGGTTCAATAATTTGCTAGAATGGCTCACAGAACTCAAGGAAACACTTTCTCATGTTTACTGGTTTATTATAAAGGATATAATAAGAGATATGAATGAATAGCCAGAGGAAGAGATACATAGGACAAGGCCTGGAAGTGTCCCAAGGGCAGGAACTTCTGTCCCCACCCTCCCCGATGTTGATATGTTCACCAACCCAGAAGCTCTCTGAACCCCCATGTTACTGGGATTTTTATGGAGGCATCACCACACAGGCATGATCAATCACTAATTTCATTTCCAGCCCCTTTCCTTTGGAGAATGGTCTTTCTGGTGACCAGCCCCCATCCAGGGGCCCACCAAGAGTCACCTGATTAAAACAAAAGACAGTTCTATCACCCAGAAAATTCCAAAGGATTTAGATTGGTGTCAGACTCTCCTATCACTCAGGAAATCATGAAGATCTTAGAAGCTGTGTGTCAGGAATCAGAGTCAAAGACTAAATGTTAAAAGAAAAGATTCTTCTAGCACCCGTATTTACAAGGGTTTTAGGAGCTCTGTGCCAGGATGCAGGAGCAGAGACCAATATACATATTTCTTATTATTTCACAGTAGGTTAGATGGTATCTTACTTTCAACTTTGTGATCCAGCCTACAAGATTCTTTTTTTTTTTAAAGATTTTATTTTTTTCCTTTTTCTCCCAAAGCCTCCAGGTACATAGCTGTATATTTTCAGTTGTGGGTCCTTCTAGTTGTGGCATGTGGGACGCCGCCTCAGCATGGCTTAACAAGCAGTGCCATGTCCATGCCCAGGATTCGAAGTGGCGAATCCCTGGGCCGCCGAAGCACAGCATGCAAACTTAACCACTTGGCCACGGGTCTGGCCCCCACAGCCTCCAAGATTCTAATTGTCATGATGCTACTTATTAAAAATAACAGCATCAGTGATAATAATAGTTAACATTTGTGGAGTGCCAGACACTGCGTTAAAAGCCTTCCATGCGTTATCTCATTCACTGCTCACCGCAACCTTACAAGGTTGATATTATTATTGGCCCTATTTCACAAATGAGGAAACTAAGGCCTTCTATCAAGTCAGTGGAAAGTCCTGGACTCCCACCCAAGTGTATTTAAGTCCAGAGCCTGTGCTTTTAGCCCCAAGCTATCTTTCCTCTACAATCAGGAGACTAAGTCTGAGCAAGATCATTTATTTATTTATACTATTGCCTTGTTCCAGAAAGGATTTCAGGCATCTGGTTAAACAAGTGACTTGTCTGAGATCACTCAGACAATAAGTGGCAGAGCCAGAAATCAAATCTCTTTCTCTCACAAACTGTACAAACTGAGATAACACAGACGCAGACCCACATCGTATATTTCCTCATTAACATGAGAAGGGGAAACGGGGACATTTTCTTTGGCTGGTTTTCATGTTCATTCTGCTTAGATATGTTCTAGCGTCAGAGTTCATTTCTTTATCCTTTGAAAAAGGAGGAATAGCACAAGAGGGATCCAGGAATAACAGGACTAGCCAGTAAGTAAGTGGGCTGCCCATGACGAGCAGATGAAAGGGAAAGACCCGGGACTATTGTGAGAAACGTGCTTGGTACGCGGAAGGCAGCCTACGGACACTGCTTTGTAAACGGTCTTCAGGAGGAAGGTTAAGAAACAGCAAAGAGAAGGTAAAATGAGGAGACAAAGGCAGAGCCGAGAAGCCATGTATCAGGGGAAGCAGAGGGAAGGCAGGGGGTAGGGGAAGGGAACACTTATACTTGCTCAAGAGTGAGAATAAAAATATCAGTTGAATTTGGTTGTGCAAGGTTTCAAAGAAGACAAGTATGAAAAATAAACTCCACCAAAACAGCCATTTTTAAAAAAACTGCATTATCCTAAAAGATCTCAATTCAGGGACAGTCTCAGCAATTAATAATTCTGTTAATCCCTCTCAGGCCTCTCTTCTTCTTGGGTCTGTAGCATCGTCCCTCTTAAGACAAATAGTTAATCCATTTTTTTTTACCCCTAAGACTCAATCCAAATAGGGCTATGTAAAGATCGGTCTTTGTTTGGCAGTAACTTGAAAAATAAATAGAATGAAATATATACTCATTCTTTTTTGTGTGCCTAAAAAGTGGAAGATTCATTTGCTTTCAGTTTGAATTATTATAAAAACATTGCAAAACTTATTCTTAATTTTATTTTATTTTATTTTTTTTTATGAAGGAGACTGCCTCAATTTAGTATCCTTAACCAAACATGCTTTAGTTCCAGGGCCAGAACTGGCTATAAAGAAAATACAGCTCTTTTAACAGCAGCTCTTTAGCCCTGGCTGTTCACTGAAAGTTAACTATGAAGGCAAAGGTGTTTGCAACTCTTCTCATTAAGAACCATGATGTTTTACTTAAGTTGGACTTGGCCGCTCTGGATAATGTGAAACAGAAGTCACTTATTGAGAGCAGGGACAGGAAGAGGAAATGGCTGACCTGTAACGAGAGTTCTCCAAAGGTGATAGGTACATTTATTAATCTCCCGGGACCTATATTCAGTTAGCAATTTGA